GTCATTGCCGTAAGGTAACCCTCCACCCCCCTATAATTCACGATCCTCCCATAATAGAAAACCCCTCTGGAGAAAAAGTTCGTCGATCGTAATAGAAGACCCCCCGCCCGTAATAAGTGTATTTTTAAATAAAAGTATGCCTGAAAAATTTTTCGCTTGGACATAATAGAAGACCCGAAGTCTTTTATTACGGAGGGTGGAGGGGCTTACAAATGCACAAGATAGATACCATGAGTACTCATACTCTTTGTTGTACGCTATCAATCACAGCAATCTGTTTATAGGGAATGCCGTTCTTCTGCACTGTATCAATCCTACATAGAAATGTATGTAGAGTAGTAGATTGTGTTCGGAAAATAAATCCGTAAAGTTTCGATTTATGCCTACTAGCTTACGTAAAACAACGTTATTCTTAGTTTTCTAAGAATATCAAGTCAATCTCATATTAAGATTTTAAATTTACTAATTTCCTTTAGTTGATCATTAAATAGAAAATATTCAATAGTAATATGCAATCGATCATACACAGGTGCATCACTTGAACTTTAATGCTTTAATTCTATGGACAACATCTATAATGGCCCATGTTTTGTATAAATTTATGCAAACAAATACTGACAGAATCTCTTCAATCGACACCATCAGCTCAATAATAATGAATAATAAGAATATCATATTAATTTCTAATCATGCACATCTGTATAGCTCTCATTCAATAACATCAATTATTTTTATCTCATGTAATTATGTGAATCTTGACGTTGAAAAATATTGTTTTGTTTCCAATACTTACCAATGTTCTTATTTTGTGATATGATTTTGTTACTCACCGATACGCAAACTCTCCAGTCAGACAAAATCGATAAAAAAACAAATTTTTTTCTCCGTTAAAATGTTCCCTTTTTATGTTCTCAAAACGGATGTTTTTATTTAAACATGTGCAAATAAGCTCTTTTCTCTCCATTGTAATGCCTTTAATCTATATAAATCAATTAATTTTCTTTTATTTTTTTTATTTTAATAATCATTTACAATAAACAAGATATTATTGCATGAGGTAAATAGTCTGCTAGATGTTTAGTAATTTCATATGCACCATATAGATGTACATGATACAGTTTTGCACAATTGATTCGTGTTGCATGTCTTGTAAAATTTTCTGTAACTCTTTTCAGTGCTTCATAATGTACAGCAAGATCAGTATTATTCGACAAATACATATCCGTATCTACCAGAAATTGTTCGATATAATCATCATGAGCTTTAAATAGATTGAGGTTAATAAGATAAGGATATTTGATAATTGATAAATTTTGATTGTTGATTTTCTTTGATTTTCTAGATAATTTATTCCTCTGTGGTTTATCATTAATTACACTTAAATCTTTCATAAATGGAAATGATTGAGCAATTTGAAGAAAAAATTCATATTCAAATGGATGTTCATCATATAACGATACTCTTCGAACATATTCAAATAATCCACCTGGAAAATTATTTGTAATATTAAAATAATAATGCATTCTATATGGATACGAATAAATATGACAGTAACTGTATCCTCTTTTTTGAAAATAATCAATACAAGAAATAATTTGATTATCTTTAAAATCTTTGAATGTATGTTGAATATATTCATTCGAAGGTAAATTCATTATATTAGGAGAATGTTTAACGACACGGATATTAAATGTAAATTTATTTAATTGTGACATATAATTGATAATATTTTCTTTTAAATCATTTCCATCGATAAATTCTTTATAACTATCAATTTCAAGTTGTAGATAAAGTTTCTCTAAGTTCAACATTCGATGTAGAAGTGGAAGAATTAAGTTACCATAATAATGTGTACGCATATCAGAACGTAGAGAAAAACATCTTAACTTACATAGTTTCTATTGGAAAATAAAATAAAAATCAATTTATTTTAATAAACTCAATATTAATCATAAATAATTTACCTCAGTATTGATTATTAAATCGTTAGAAAAAATGCAAACAATATGAATATCAAATGTATGAAGTTGATTGAAACGTCCATCAAGTAAATAAAGACAATCAGAGAAAAGATCCACACGAACATGTAATTCTAATAAACTTGAAGAAAAACAAGTTGGAGGTGACATACGAAATGACAATCGTTGATAATCCTTGGAAGAAGGACCAAAATTTAAATATTTTAAATTCGTGAACATAGTAAAGATATGTGTAAATATAATTATACCGATATCTCCTGGTAAAATTTTTCTATTGTTTTTATCTATATCGATCACCAATGACGATAGTTGACTTTTGTTTACAGAAGCAAAACTAGTGTCGTCTAAATAAAAATAAAAATGTCTTGAGAAACAAATTAATCATGTTCTATTATTGATTTATTAAATTTATTTAAAACTAATAATGTAACATAGAAATTTTTAATTTAGATTACTGAATAATCTACTCAACCATATTATAAATATAATAAAATAAATAATCTTGAAATTTTATTTATCTAGAAATAAGATAACTTACTAGTAAAAAGAGATAATGCTTTTTCTACATCAAAACCATATAAACCAAGTCCACACAAATAAGGATAATCTGTAGCGAGCAGAATACGCTCCATAGATGTTGATTCAAGGTCAAGCCATTTGATTTTATGATGAATTTCAAGTAAAATATGTGAACAAAATCGATTAAGGATTGGATCAGGCAATGGAGAGGCGAAATCATCCAAGAAAACAAACAACGGTAAATAACTTGCAAAAATTGAATCATTTGCGATTGTATTGAGTTGTTTATTAACACCTCTCAACGAATAGAGTACTTCAATATTATCCAACTTTTTTAAGATGAGAACAAGAATTTCATCTGGTAAATCAGATAGCTTAAGTGATAAATGTTCCATATTTGTCAATGGGTCGATATATGTTTTTTTCTCATTTCGATGTGAACATATATATATATATGTACTCGTCTTGTTTGTTTGACCGATATCGTCAATAATTGAGATTGACAGCAATGATATACTTTTTTTCTCGTCTAAATGAAGAATGAACAAAAAATTGAATTACTGAAAGAAAAAAACGAGATTATTTCTCTCTCTCTCTCTGTTTTATATGACGAACACAAAGTGATGTTTTAGTATTTGATGTAAAAATAGCCCACAGATTTATGCGAAGATAACTCTTATGTAGTTTTCAATTTCTTTTTGTTAGAATATTAGAATAGTTATTTTCCTTTGTGTCCTCAATGTCGATGTCACTAATCTAAACATATGAATTGATATTAATTATTTATTAAAGTAACTATCATTACTTCGAACAAGTATCTTTCGCTTGTCTTGTCAATTTACAGACATTGTAGATATACATTGAATGAACAAAAAGGCAAATCGATGATATTTTAATAAATAAGAAAGATTTAAAGTTCGTAACAAGAAATAAAACCTCTAGTTTTGGTATACCAACTAGCATAGCATGCAATATTTGAACTGAAGATCTTCACAGGGCATTTTTTTTGTCCTGCCTGCCCTTTGCCCTGCTCTTCTCTCAGGTCACAACAAAGATTGGCATCATGTCTGGAAACAAAACTAATAATTTGGATAAAGGTTTAAAATCTTTTTTGATTTCAATGTCCATGGTTTATTGAATCATTTCAAAATAATGTTACAAGATGTTTATATTTTATATTAGAAGGTTCAGTTGAATCGATTGAAGACATAGACTCGATATTTGATGATAAATTATTTGCACTCATGCTCAATTTTAAAAAAGAAATGAAATAAAAATATGAAATAAGCACAGCTTGGGTGTTGGTGTGGGTGTGTGGGTGTGTGGGTGTGTGTGGGTGGGGTGTAGGTGTGGATGAACCTAAAACAATACAAACACACCCACATCCAGATAAGAAATGAAATAAATGTAACAATAATAGCAATTATTGTCATACACTACACAGACGTTCCAGAAGATGTCGAGTTTCTTGCTGAAGACACCACTATTTTTGTCGTTCTCAACTAATAAGACACACAAGCGTTCGAAATGTTTTCGTCACCACAATTCAAGAAATAACTTCAGCATACTTATTTCGATATTGATCACTCACAGCCATCAACCTTTGATGTAGCCAATGTGCGGAACTGAAATAACGACTGTATGTGTGTATAGAAAAATCAATTTATCGACTGCCATTACTATTTCCAAGCACAATGCCATACAATGCTACTTGAATAATAATGTCAATAGGGATAATAGTGAACGGTGCATTTTTATAAAATCGGCGAAGAATTTCCTCAGACTTTTCCTGTAAAATTATAATAAACATGATGAAATATTAGTCGTACATTATAAACAGCAGATCATGATATCCAAGTTTTCTAAAACCATAATATCTGCTTTTCTCATTTGTTCGCGAATGAGAAAATTGCAGAGTAAACGATGGTAGATAGGCGAGAATTCATGAACAGGGAACATGTGACGAGATCAATCAATACGTAAGATATATAAGGAGCATAGAAACTCGATGCATCGAAGGATCAATTCTGGTTGTTAAATTGATGGTATTCATATGAATCTCTTTCCAAATCGAGATATCCAACAACATCACATATTGATATAACCCTTCTATTGGATGCTGCTAGATTCAGATTGTAGATTTGCTCAATCTTTTCAATATATATATATATATATTGATTTTTATGTTGGGCTTGAAAACTCGCTTGATGCAACCCTACATTATTTAACTATGTATTAGAGCACTTCGATATTAAACGATTGAAAACGATATGGATAATGCTTTCAGTAGTGAGATTGTCGTTAAACAGCAAATTTAATGTATAATATCATTTCTAGTGTGCCAATAGTTCGTTCGAGAACATGATGCAATGTATGTGACAATCTTCCATATAAATGATTTATAACCGATTAAGTTATAGTTCATTTGTAAACGATCCCAAGATTGATTCAGATTCATTGGAATATTAACAATACAACAAAAAAAAAGAACAAATAGGTCCGTGGCTTCTAAATGTATACGATTCACGTATTCCGAATATCTTGAAGACGTTGATCATAGATACGTATCGATACGCATGAGAAAGATGACCATTCTCCCATACTTTTACCCGGAGTTCGTAGGTTTTATCAACAAAAGAGGAAAATAATAGAAGGGTATGAGTGTGGGCCGATGTGAATGTGGGGTGTGTGGGTGCGAGTTATCTGCTTACCCACACCCAACTTTGACTTAATCGTTGCAATAAAGAAGAGGTAGCCACTTTTTTATTTCTTTTTCCATGTTCAAAGTTTATCATCTTCTTCGTCAAGTGATCCCAATGCATCAAGACTCAATTCATACGCTCTATATTATGGAATTGCTTTTTCTGAACTTTGGTTATATTTCAATCAATCTGACAGATCAACAAATATTAAATACTTGGCAAAATGCTACACTACTCACTCCATATCTTCATTCTAATCTAGTTGTATTAAGACAAGCATGGCCAAAATATTTATTAGATTAATATCGTTATTGTCTTGCTAATTCATCTGAAATTATAATTCCTGCTCAATTAGATGCTGCAACACCACTCGATGTGGCTTCTCACTTAACATCAATCACAGGAAAAATACGAACATTGTATATAATTCTATTAAGTTGACATATTATTAAGCTTATTGTTTCCGTTATGAAATATACTTGTCCACTTCATTTAATCCTTTCCTGGACATTTCAGCTCAATTTCCAAGTGAATGGAATGATTGCGCATGTATACAGGATCTACTAACGATGATTGATTTTGTTGATTCAACTACAATGACACAATTGGCTTCACTGAAGGTTTTGAACGTCAGTCTGCCATTTAGAAATACGAATACTTCTCAGCCAGGAAACCAAGTCTTTTTTGATTATTCAGTTGCGTCATTCAGTTTCACTTAGTATTTGATATATGTCGATCGATATCTTTTAAATATTCAGCTTAATATTTAAAGGTTTTAACATTTTTGCTGCATTACATATTCATTATTGATTAATTCATTCTATTTTGGAAATGATATCTCAAATATCTTATCTGAAGCTATCGATTTTATCTTTCAATCTTTTACAAATACTCTTATGGTCTAAAATGTTAATTGTTACCGTTACATCCGAAGTGTTCTCCCTCGGTAATAAAACGAATAGAGAACACCCTTTCCAATATAGTGCTAGTACAGCTGCCCAAAAAGTAGAAGACGCAATGTTCGGTCTTTTACGAAAGGCGATTATTCTTTTGTTTTGTTCTATTATCATACCATTACGTTGATATCTCCGTTACAATAGTTACATCAAAGCATTTCAAAGATTATGCCGAAAGATTACAGATAACTAGGTTACTATTATCGAAATGATCCTTTGAAAAAATACTTTTAGCACGTTAGAATATAATTACAAAAGAGCAAATATATTTTCTTGCTTGAAAAGAAACGGACTACAATCCTTTTAATTATGTCTTCTGAAAGCTTTACAACTCATTAATTCACATGCTAAAAATAGTGCATTGACGCACATTTGTCTTACTAATTACAAACAAAAGAGTAAATGTAATAAGAAGAGAAAACCAAAAGAGTTCTTTGAAAAAAAATATATACATTATCGCTTATTCTTAATTTCGAAGAAAAACTCATGATGTACATTTCATAGTACGAATTCCATTCATTTTAAAAATAAATTGTGAAGAAAAGAATGATAAAAATGAGCAGACAATTAAGATGTATGACTGATTTAATGAAGTCTTCGTATTTCCACTTCTTTTGTTAAATTCGACAGACATATTTCAATCTAATCAAAGAATAATAGCATAGAGATACATTTTTCTTTTATAACCAATGTGCACACACACAAATTCAAAATTTATTGAAATCTATTTTACAAAAACTGGAAGTCTATGTTTATTTTCTATTTATAAGTGTCTTTTGTTATTATTTATACGATGGTTATGATTTTTGAAAGATGATAAGAATAATAATAATTTTCATAGTAATGCAAAATATTTGTAAACGGAAATAATAGTTTATTTAGAGAACTTTGAAATTTTCCATTAAGGAAAAACAGAGGTTTAAATTGACCTATATTTTAATTTTTGCTATAAAAAAGAAGTACAAATATAAAAAGAATCTAAAAATAATTTCTCTTAAAAAAAGGAATACTTTTAATTGTTTGTTTTGAAATCTTTATAAATCATTTGTTTGTGACTCATCTAATTGAATAGTATAAAGTCTCGCATATCTATGTATGCATTTGAGTTAATTTTTATATATTATAGTAAACAAGATAATGAATATGATAAAAATGTCTTGCATTTCATTAATCATCGATAGACGAACATTTGAAGAAGAATTACACTATTGATGAACTGGAATAATTGTAAGAACAAAAATCGTTTAGAATCAATAGTTTTACAACCTTTATATGTTATCAATCATCTGTTAGTTGAAAAAAGATTGTTATCTACTTTTATTGTTAAAATTTCATTCGTCTTCACACTAAATTCGGATGAAAAAAAATCAAGAAACCTTCCCATTTCACGCATTCTAATGCATTTTTTGTATTAACACATTGTTATGCATGAAATAGGTTGCATTATCATGCTATTGCGCACATTATCTTGTGAAATACATTTTAATGCATGAAGAGCTGCATACATTACACTCATATTATTCGAACCCTATGATTATGCTCTTCAATCTTTATCCTCTAAAAGAAAGTTGCCCGACTGAACCTTTAGAGCTCTAGATTTCTATATCATTTTATATACCAATTTAAGTTTTAGGCGAAAGCTCTTGGAGTTAAAAAGGTGTGAGCCATTAAACTGCAGAATCTAAATAGGCCCCAGCTACTTTGGCTTGAACGTAAAATGGTCAGAAAATGGTACCGAAATCTAGAACCTTAAAAAGTTTAGTATGGCACTTTTTTCAGAGAGCACCCTTATCTCCATACTTTTATTTGTATACCAGTACATCTAAACTCTTACAACTGCACTCTCATATCTAATCTCTATAAATATATTCCTATCTCTATACCCTTATAATTATACCCATACCTAGAGAATAATGATTTTACTACTCTTACTTTATCGTTAAGCGTAAATTCTTATAATTATACCTGCATGATTATACTTTTACAACTCTCTGCTTATGAGTAGGAGCTATGACTATACTTTAAGAAGATGAAAACAAAAATTAGATGTTTTAACGTACTTGAAGCATATATCCAAGATATCTGAAGTCCATTATTCATTGAAATCTGGAATATATTAGCTGAAGCTAATTCTGTATAAATTTGTGTCACAGAAGTGATATAATAACATAGAATTTAACTCAAACTTATTTTCTCCTGATATGTAGTCATAGTAGAGTTAAACTATCAGTTAAGAAGTTCTAGCGGATAATTTTCCAGTACTCTTGGAGTATGATGAAGTACGAAATTCCTGCTTTTTCTTCCTAGATACAATCTTACATCTATACTCGGTAATGAAACGTTTAGATTCTTCTCAGCTTGGGTGGTAGTTCATTCTTTTGAGCGAATACAGGTAGTTGTTGCTGTTAACGACTATTTACCAACAAATGCGACCGAAAACGATGATCATTCATTTAATTAGCCCACTACACTAAGTGAATGTGGTGTCTTCCGTTATTATTAGGACGTCGTTCACAGTCGACGTATTGCTATGTGTTTTACTGGTTGTTAATGACAAAGAGCCGTTCATGACCAGGAATAATTCATCTGGGTGACGATCACCGTGAATGAATGCATTTTTTAATGAACAACAACAGAATTCGTACTTTTTATCGATTTTTTAAACTCGGTTGAGTAGTCTTGAGAAAAGGACGACGCATAGAAAACTGTGTGACATCGGATCTCAAACTTATCAAGCCACTTTATTCGATCTCTTCTTTGGAAAAATAATACGTCTTCGAAGTCTAAGACATGACTCTAGATAACGGGTCATTTTTGCATTAGTTATTCATTATCGACTACTTGAGTATAGAAGTCAAGCTCAACAGGATATATAGATGTATTTACTATTTTTTTTTTCTTTTTCATTTCTTTTCTTTTCAGTACCCGACAAAACGTATATTCCATCTTAACAAATTATTTTGTTCCAGATAAAGTAATATTTATTTGAAAGATCTTTAAAATATAAAAATGGTATCATGGAGATATATAGCAGTATTATATGCACAATACTTTGGTATGACAGTATTAATTTTAGGAATATTAGGTGATATTTTAAATATATATATATTTTCAACGGTACGTTCGTATCGTGAAACACCAGCAACATTTTATCTATTAGGTGCAGTTATTGCAAATTTTATTCAACTAACACTTGCGATAACAACGCGAATTATAAGTGTTGGTTTTAATAATGATTTAACAAGTTCATCTCTTGCTTGGTGTAAAATTCGTCAATTTATTGTTGCAACTTATCCTAATATAGCATTAACATGTGAATGTTTAGCAACTATAGATCAATTTCTAGTAACATCACGTCATGTTCGCTTACGACAATTGAGTAATATTAAAAATGCTTATCGAATTTCTGCTGTTTGTGTTGTTATATGGCATCTTCAAAGTATTCCTTTTCTCGTTTACAATCAAATACAGTAAGTTAAAATATATTTACTCCTCTAATTACATCAAACAATTGTTAATCGATCTTAAACTTTTACTATAAATTTATGTCAACTGATTCATTGTGGCGAATAAGTCTCTGCCATAAAAAACAAAAAATTGTTAGCTAATTGAAATATTTTTTTATAACTTGTCGAGTGTTACAGGTCTCCATTGAAATGAACGATAATATTTCATAGTAGCATCTAGGCATGTATCGAGCTCGGATCTCTCGGTCTCGGTCTGAATCTTAGTCAGTCGCGATATCAGTACCAGTCCTCATGTCTTGAACTCGGTGTCGATCAGCAGAATAGCCTCTCATGAATTTTCTTCTTACAAATTCAATTTCTCCATTGTTTTTCATTCATCCATTTAACCAAATGTTTTTTCGTGATATTTTCAGGAAAACACGTTTCTGCATGATTTTCTTTTACCCCTAATCTATTCTGAGATCCTACGACTGCTATTTTTACCTCCTTGATACCAACATTGTGTGAGAGTGCGACAAGAACTAATCGAGACTAAGACTCTTGGTTTAGTCTCGGTCTCGGTACAGCCCTAG